TCGATTTGGAAATGGCAACAATTGAGGTCGGCGTTCCGATCTCATTTCATTGGGGCCCAAGTATGCCTTATCCCGAAAGAGTCTCTTGCCAACATTACCCAAAAAGATGATAAAAGCGTTAAAGATTACATCGCCCGTTTCAACGACCGAGTTCAAAATATGGAACCCTGTCATCCCGAAACTTTGCTTGTTATGGCCATTGCCGGGTTAAAGCCAAACTCGATTTTCCGCTGGACGTTATGCCAAAATAAACCGAATACTTTTCAGGAATTTCTTGCCCGAGCCCAACAGCATATTATAGCGGAAGAAGCCATGTCGGTTCCCGACTTCAATTTTAACCAAAAGGCCTCTAAGGTGGGGACCGACGAAAAGAGGAAGAATAAATTTTTTGACAAGCAAAATAAGACTCAATTCAGGGGGCCTCCCCGAGGAGACCCCAATGATCCCGAAGTCCGAGCAGCTCGAAAGCAATACGCGACCGACGTAAAGTCCGGTTATCAAACTGTGTATTCGGCAGGAGCGGCTGTTATTTACGAAGAAATCAAAGGGAAGGGCATTTTGCCAGATCCCAAGCCACTTCGGGCGCCTGAAGAAAAACTGGACAAGTCCCGATATTGCGATTACCACAAGTCGCCCGGGCACAACACGGACGAGTGTTTGAGTTTGTTGGCCGCGTTGCTGCGCCTAATCGGCCACCCGCAGCTTAGGAAATTCTATCGTAATGCTGATTCCCAGAGGCGAGGTCCTGGACGTCAGATTGAATCTTTTGATGACGAAGATGACGAGGAAGACCGAGGTGAAATGACAAAACGCATCCGACAGGGGGATAAAAAAGTATTCATGTTTACCTCGGAAACCTCCGGTTCTGCCCCTGATGGAAATTCCCGAGGACGTAAGCGAGACAGATCTCCTGAACCAATGCAAATCACTGTCCATCGGGTCAACACTAACAATTCCCGGAGCATGTTATCCCGCCGACAAGTTAAGGCGTATGCCCGACAAGCCTACAACTCCGGTAAACAGGTTTACACCACCGATTTGAGAGATGTTCTCAATAATCGGAATTGCCCAATAACTTTCAATATGGAGGACGCGAACCACTTCGCCCATCCTCATTCTGACGCCTTGGTCATTACCGTTCCGATATGTGGCATCCCGGTTCATCGTTTCATGGTGGACACTGGGGCCTATTCAAGCATTTTGATGCTGAAAGCTTTTGACAAGATGGGTCTCGACCCCGCCGAGATCAGACCTTGCAATGATCAAATCCAGGGATTTAATGGCAGTATTTCGAAACCCATCGGAGAAATCACTTTGCCCGTCCGATTTGGTACCTCGGAGAATGTCACCAAACTCGTTATGGAGACCTTTAAAGTTATGGATATTAATAACGAATACAACGCCATCATTGGCAGAACGACGTTGTACAAACTTCGGGCCGCAGTCTCTATCTTCCACTACGCTTTAAAGTTTCCAACAACCCGAGGAGAAGGAACCCACTTCGGAGATCAAAGGGAAGCTCGACAACTTGTAACGTTCATCCCTTCTCATGGAATTCACTCAGCTTCGACGAGTAACCATGCGGCCTCCCCACAACATCACCATCCAAATGATACGATGATCGAAGAACCAAGCCACCACGTCGGTGAGC